TTCTTCTTCTGGTTGAGCTCTGATCATCCAGTCATTGAAGCCAGGTCAAGTGGGTATTGTCTGCAAGTGTGGGTGTTCTTGTGCATATGCCCTCTCATCTTATCAGCTGGACGCTTCACTCTCCACTCTAGTCCTCTGTGGCCATGTCACTGACTCTTCTTGATGGTAGTGTTCCCCCCTCCTGCTTCTGAGATGGCTCATTTTAAACCCATGCTAGAGTTTCAAGTTTTTATAATGACAGTGAACGTTACTGTCATCCACAGCTGACTCCTGCCATGCTGTGAGGAGCTCCTCTACCTTCTCTTACCCAGTCCCAGCGGGGAAGAAACATTGTTTGATGGGAGTTACAAAGTGTGACGAGAAGAAACAATAGGTCATTCACCACAACCCAGTATCATAGTGCAGACTCTCTTTAGCTTTAATAAAACAATAAGACTTTTAGAATAATACTTTATTTCACAATTATAAGTGTGATTTATATCACCTCTGGATATTTGCACTAGGACCAAATAGAAGTAAACCTGACTAGATATTAATTGTTAACCTTGACTTGACTTATGATGAAGTAAGTTACTTGGTAGATCTTCTTACCCATAGTTTTTGTAATTTCCACCAACCAACTTTATTTTTCCTAATAGATTTGGGTAAGAAAACATAGAGGAAGATGCTGAAAGGATTACTGTAGAATTCATTTGTGAGTGATTGTTACCAGGGTTCATTGGGATTGTAAACCCTTGGACCTGACATGGGTCTAGAATGAGCCAGCTCAGAAGCAGGAGCAGGGGCTCTCACTACCGTCAAGGCAGCAGAGCCAGGAGTAGTGTGTGTGTCCCTGGACCCTGAGAATTCTGCACATTGACCTCCCTGACCTAGGGAGGGGAAGCTGTCACACCAGAGGGACGGCATAGGAGTGGCAGAGGGAGGGGTAACAGCAGAACCTAGTACCAGAGCACAAGACAGAGCAGTGAGCTTCCCAGCCCGTGGAGCGAGAAAAACAGTGATTTGGGGCAGGAGACTTACAGTGGAGTGGAGTGCCCTTTTAGCATTTATTGGCAGTAGTCATAAAGCTTTGTAACATTGTCTGAGCCGGGCAGAACCAAGCCTGCCTCCGGACATTGCTGGGAAGAGACCAAAGAACTGTGTTTTGAGCATTTCTGATCCTGCTAACTTCCCTAATAAACTCCATTATCATCAGTATGGCCTATGGGTTCTGTGTGGCTATTGCAGTGAATTACTGAATGCAGTAGACAGGGAAGTCTGGGGTCTAACCTTAGCCTACACTAGGAATTGACCTGGGGCCCATACATTTGAGTCCTCCCCCCCCACCCCAAGAAAGGAGATAAAAGGAGAAATCAGCTGCTGCCTTCAGGCCTTGTTTTCCATTACCAATAATGAAGATGTGGTAAACTTAAAATTGTGTGTCATCTAAGGCATTTAATGCACTGCACCTTTTCTATTGTTGCTGCTAAATGGCGTCATGGAATCTGCACAGTAACGTGAGAGTCTCTAAATGTTGTTTATGCCCTTTTAAAAAATAATGCTTTCAAATTAGTAAATATTGTACAAGTGTTATTTTAGTCTTCACCTATAATAAAGCTTTAGCTAACATAAATTTTATTATAAATTACAGTAGTTTACTAAGTGTCATCCATAATAATAGCTATTATTATTGAGTGAAACATTAATTTTTTTTCCTCGTTCCTCACAGCCACATTAGGAGTTAAGTTCTGTGATTATCCCCATCTTAGAGTTAAGGTCATGGATATTAAATAATTTGCCTGAGATAACAAAGTAGTTAAGTAGATGTAGGTAAGATGTGGTTCTTCTGGAGAAAAAGTCCCATTGGGAGGAAATTGAGGATTAGCAAACCAGAATTCTTTTAAGTCATAAATACACTTAGATTCACCATTAGTCTCCTTCGTTTGATGCTGTTGAATCATCAAAGCAAAGATAGATTATATTGAATATATTGTAACTCTGGTATACAACGATTTTTTTAAAGACTTAAAAAAGGGTCTATCTTAGTCTTAATTAATAATTAAATGAATACTAATTTTGATGCTCAGTATTCTGGGTAATTGAGGCTTTACTAGCTACACTAGGGTGATCTTTAAGAAAAAAAAAAGTAAAAAATAAATTGAAGTGTTTTCTTTTGTTCCTTCACTAAAGCCAGCGGCAAAAGTGGACCAAGAAACTTTGACTGAAATGGTGAAACCTAGCATTGATTATGTGCGCCACAAAAAATTCCGATCGGGGAATTACCCGTCGTCGCTGAGCAACGAGGCCGATCGCCTGGTCCATTGGTGCCATGGCGCCCCTGGCGTCATCCACATGCTTCTGCAGGCGTCAAAGGTCAGTAGCTCCGCCCCACTAACGTGCAGCTCACGTGCACAGCTCGGCTCTTGCAGCTCCGGTTCTGGTTTGATTTTGGTAAGCACATTGGAAGCTACAGACTTTTCAAATTAATATTTTTACAGACTAAGTAGAAAGTGTCTTTGTTTCCTCATTCATTAGCCTCAGTTAGCGCTGCAAATGTGCACGCATACCTGTGTTTTAACAGAGCTTCTATTCCTGTTTTAAACCCTGAGTGACAGTATGGCCATGCTCTAAAGAACATGACTATTGCATAAGGTGGTTGACAGTATCATATATTACGAATACTGTTTTGTTTGATGTCACATCCTTTCTTATTTGCTTGAATAAGCAGTTATTGATGGATTATTATTCATTATAATTTACGTTACAATTTGAGTTCATAATTGTTACAGAGTATTTCATGATAGGTTGGGTGCTTAAAATTTCACACAAATAAGGCATTTCAGGAAACTAGGCAGTACCTTTCACTGTTTAAATCTAATGAGCGTTAGATATATTTGGACAAATAATACTATCTACTTCTTAAAGAGATTAAGATTTATTGTTTAAATTGTAAGCAAAGAATACTTGGTTTGCAGTCCTGTATTTCATCTAGTGCTTCTTTATTGATGATGTTAAGTGTGGGCGCTCATAGCCTAGAAAACATGCACCTGTACGCACAACAGTTGTTCTGTTTAACGGTGTGTTTTATAAAGGTATCTTGTTTGGGAAAACTAGATGGAATTAACAGAGCAGAATTCATTTTCTACCTGAAAATAGCAAAACAATTGATGCCTGAATCCATTTTATTTTCCCTTGACTAACTATAATAAAATTATTCAGAAAAGTTCTGAGATTTAGGCTTCCTACAACAGCAGTGGAGTCTTGGTGTGGCGCTATAGGATAAGCTAACTAAAAGGTTGGCAGTTCAAACCCAGCAGCCACTCGTCGGAAACCCTATGCAGTGTAGCTTTGTGCTGTAACTGACTTGACAGCAGGTAACAACAAACAACATTACAGTGGTACAGAAATTCAAAGAATATAGATGTCATAAAGACGTGTGAAAAACCTCAGAGAGGTATGGTCATTTGGTGAGAACAGAGCCCCATGGAATGCAGTCTGGGGATTAAGAACGTAATGACTTATCCTCCTAACAGATCCCAGCTTTTAAGCTAAAACAATTCTGTTCAGATCACCATCTCCCCTGTTTAGTGCTTTAGGGTAGTTGTAATTTCAGGTAGAGATGAGTTCCTAACAGAATAAACATTCAGCAATAATGTCTGAGCATAAAACTGACTGAACAAGCAGGGACCTTTGATACTTAATCTGTTTGTCACTTGTTTTCCCTTTCACTTCACAGTGGACCAGCTGGAGCAGCTGGGTACTGGGTACTACAGCTGGTTCACAATCTTTGCCACCGGAAGTCTTTCCTGCCATACTTCTAAACGGAGTTGTGAGCAGTGAGCAGGAAATCAATGTCCAGGGCGCCTGCTGGGAGCTCCTGATTTTGGGCAGTGCCATCTCCATTAGCCCTGCTGCCCACAGGGCCATGGACCAGGAAGACACCCCCAACCCGGCTGCTCCTTGCAGTGTAGTTTCTTCTCAGAACCCCATTTAAATACCTTTTCCTACCCTGCTGTTTCTAAGACAGTCTAGGAAATTCAGCGCCCAAGATGTTGTCACATCCTTGCCACTTGCAGACGTGGTTGAGAATCTTAATACTGAGGACAGCATTCAGCTTTTGTTTGCAGTAACTCCATGGGTAGTTAGCATCCTTTCCTGATTATTTGACTGTAGCCCATTGTCAGTGAGCTGATTCCAACTAAGGGTGACACTCCTGGTGCAGTGGCAGTATTGTGACCAGTGAGCTTTATCTGATCATTGCTCATTGAAAACTTTGTCTCAGAGGCCTCTGATGTGGCAATGTAGAATAAGCACGGGACTGCTAACTGCAACACACCAGGCACTTCTCAGAAACGCTATATAGGGTCTCTATGAGTTGGAACCAACTTGATGGTACTTAACAACAAAACAGCAGCAGTGGTGACCCCCACCCTGTGTCAGAGTAGAACCACACTCTATATGGTTCTCAGAGGCCTGGTTACCACCTTACGTAGGTAAGTAGATTGGTTGGGTGAATTTGAATGGACATTGTTGGGTGAATTTGAACTAACCACCTTTTCATTAGTAGCTAAGCTCAAATCTGTTTGCACCAGTCCTGAACCCAAAATACCAAAGCAGTTGCCATCAAGTCGCTTCCAACTCATGGAGAAGCCAAGGACTCCAGAGTAGAACGGAGCTCCACAGGATTTTCAATAGCTGTGGGTTTCCAGAAGTCCATATCCAGGTGTTTCAGTGGATAGCTGATTGTACCCACCCCATTGTGTTGAGAAGACTTTCATTTCCTCTGGATGGTTTTAGTACTGTTATCAAAAGTCAACTGACTATAAGCGGTGGTCTGTTTCCAGGGTCTCTGTGCTGTAACTTGAGCCGGTTTATCCTTATGACAGCACCGTTATGTTTTGATTATTTTAGCTCTGTTATAAATTTCTAAAGTCAAGTGTTTTTAGTCTTCCAACTTTTTTCTTCAAGATCTCACTGGGTACTCTAGGTCGTCTGCATTCCCATATAAGTTTAGAGCCAACTTGTCAGCTTCTACAAAAGGACTAGGAGTAGGATTGCGTTCAATGTATAGGTCAGTTCGGATAAAACTAGCATCATATTACAGTCCTGGTGTGGCGCTGTGGGATAAGCACTGCACTGCAAGCTCAGTCAAACTCACCAGCCGTTCCTTGGACACACTGTACAGGGTCGCCATGAGTTGGAACCAACTTGACAACACTTAGCAACAACAGCAAAGCATCATATTAATTTTTGTTCATTTTGAGTCTTCTTACTCACAAAGATCCATGTATTTACATCTTCTTTAATTTTTGTCAGCTGGATTGCAAACGATTTATACTTGAGTGCTATCCTAAATGTTGCCAGTTTAAACCCACCCAGCAGTGCTTCCGAAGATGGGCTTGGCGAGCTGCTTCTAAGAAGATGACAGCCAAGCAAACCCTGTGCTTCCATTCTCCTCTGTAGCACATGGAGCTCCATGAGTCAGCTGCCTCCCCAGCACCTAACGTGTGTGCTCCTTTTTAATGTACAGCTCTTACGTAGCTCTGTTTCCATTCAGCCTTGCTATTGTTGTTAGGTGCTGCCACATCAAGTGTCAACGCATAGCTACCCAGTGCACAACAGAACGGACCATTGTCTGGTCCTGCACCAACCCCACAGTTGTATCTTTGAGCCCAGTTGAGCCCATTGCTGCTTCCACTGTGTCAGGCCATCTCCTTGGGGATGGACTTCCTCTCTTTCTGTGACCTGCTACCTTTCCAAGCATGATGTCCTTCTCCAGGAACTGCTCCCTCCTGACATGTCCAAAGTAAGAGACAAACGTCTCACCATCACGTCTAAGACGCATTCTGGCTGTGTTCTCCCAACACAGATTTGTGTATTCTTTTAGCAGTTCGTGATACTTTTAGTATCCTTCTCCAAGACCATGAATGAAATGCATCAGGACTGTGGTCCTGCTTGTTCATTGTCCAGTTTTCACATACATATGAGGTGATTAAAATGCTATAGCTTTATTTCTAGGTATTTTAAAATTTAATTTTCTAGTTGCTCATTGCTGTTATGTGGAAATTCAACTGATTTTTATATCCTGAGACTTTCTAAATTCACATAGTAGTTCTAATAGCTCTTTGCAGATTCCTTAGGATTTTCTGTGTACACAAATTATATCTGTGAATAAGGACAGTTTCACTTCTTCCTTTCTAACTTCTGTCTTGTATTATCTTGCTCCTTTAGCCAGGGTCTCTGGGACTGTGTTGAGTAGAAATAGTAAGAGTGGACAGATTTGACTCAGTCATATTCACAAGGAAAAGCATTAACTACTTCACCACCGAATATAGTTTTACATTTTTTCTTAGATGCCCATTGAAGATTCAGGATGTTTCCTACTATTCTTGTTTATTTGGAATAGATGTTGAATTTTTTTTTTCTTAAATGTTTTATTGTGAATTATGTGATAGTTTGCATGGGAGAACATTAGTTTTACATTCATTCTGTCGTATACCGTCTCATTGCCATGGTTACAATCCCCTCCATGCAATCCTTCCCCGGTACTCCCCAGGTCTTCAACACACAGTTGCGCTCCCTCTCTGGTTCTAGAGTCTCCAGCTGCTCCATCGCTCCACATCATCATCTCTGGCTCCATTTCAGACATCACTGCTTCTCTGGGTAGGGTCCTGCTTTCCGCTCCTCTCCCCTGATGGTCCTAGGGACCTCCGCTCCTAGACTGAAAAGTCAATCACTCCCCTCCTTGTTATAAAACATCTACCTTTACATTTGCTACCCTCACAATCAGTCCTGATAACAATTATTCACTATTGTATCACAAGAGACC